TCTTACTGGCTGCTGTAACAAAATACCATAAACTGGGCAGCTTATGAACAACAGAAATTGGTTTCTTATAGTTCTGGAGGCTGGAAAGTCCAAAATCAAGGGGCTGGCAGATTTGGTGTCTGGTGAGGGCCTGCTTTCTGGTTCATAGATGGGCCTTCTCACTGTGTCCTCTCAGGGCAGAAGGGGCAAGGTAACTCTCCAGGGTCTCTTTTATAAGGGCACTAATGGTATGGATGAGGGCTCTGCCTAACCACCTGACCACCTCTGAAAGGCCCCAGCTCCTAATGCCATCACCTTGGTGATTCGGTTTCCACATAGAAATTTTGGAAGCACGCAGTCATTCAGATCACAGCAGTGTGTCTGTCTGAGTCATAGCTGTATTTGCAGCACATACTCCAGCATTTGGCACATAGGTGTTGAATGAGCTATATAGGAAATGGGGGAATTAATGGGCTATATTTAGTCCTTTTTGGTTTCTTCCCTTTTTAGGTGAAGTGGGAATATATTTGTCTTTGGGTCACTAATGAAACTTAACACAAACTATCTGATGATGTCCACTATCCGCTGGGCCACGGGTTCGAGTAGGGCCACGGATCTTCCCTGTGCTGGGAGTAGGAGGAGTGGGGGAGAGTGCTGGGGCTGGCAGAGGGGAGAAGCAGAACGGTCACATACATTACCTCCACACTCAGGCTGGGTGCCACTCCATGAGCCATCGGCTTGGCAGGTTCGCTCTGATGATCCGCGCAGCGTGTGGCCAGCCTCACAGCTGAAGCGCATCAGACCACCTGGGGCAAAGCTGTCCCCCAAACGGATGCCATGGGCTGGGATCCCAGGGTCACCACAAACTCCCGTGCTGGTTCCTATGGACCAGAACCAAACAAACCCTGTTGTTTTGCGTGGAGGAACAGGGAGTGGAGGAGTGGGAGAGAGAAAGAGATTGGGTCGCTGCTAAGGGGAAGCAGTGGGTCCCACGAATGAGGGAGGTGACAACCAACTGTGTGTCTAGCCCAAGTTTCCTGGGCAGGCTCCCATCTCACTACTCAATGGTTACAAAGATCTGAGCTCATGGGTAGGTCCCTGGGACCCACATAGGAAGGGAAGCAGGAGGCAGAGGGGGGCTCTGTGGTGGAAGTCCTATCTTTGTTCTTCGGCGTGTGCCACCATCTGGAATGTCAGCGGTCCAAATGGGACCTTTTACCGTCTCCCTTTACCTCTTGCTCATCAACACCTGCTGACTCTGTGGTACCCTCTCCACGCTCAGTGCCACTGTCTTCATTTAGATGCTCAGCATTATTTTGCCTGAACTATTGCAGGAGCCTCCCAACTAATGCCCCTTCCTCTTAAACTCTCCGTCTAATGCAGCTCCCACTTTATCCTCACCCCTTAACAATGGACAGCCACCAACCATCTGATCTTGCTTCCTTCCTGTGGAAACATCTCTACTGACTTCCCAAGGCCCACAGGATAAAGTCCTTAACACAGCTTTGTCTTCTCAGCAGCCCAGCTTGAATCTTGATCCTGGGCCTTTATTTACTTACTTATTTATTACCTTTTAAAAGTTTCATTTTATTTTTAATTGACAAATAATAATTATATGCATTGATGGGGTACAATGTGGTATTTCAATACATGTACAGTGTATTTTACAATGGCTAGTTATAAGAGAAGATTTTAAATGCTCTCACCACAAAGAAATGATACAAATTTGAGGTGACTGATCCTGGGGATTCCCTGCTCACAAATTATGCTATGCAGCTGAGCTCTAGATTAAATGTCTTGAGCCCTCTCATTTCCTTCTCGCTTTGCCCCCTGCCTCTTGCTTCATTTCCACATGATCTGGCTTCTGATATTGCACAAACTCACCTGAGACAGTGCTAAGGACCCAGGAGGTGAAGGAGGGTAGAGAACAAGAGACAGAGACAGAGGATCTAGTGCTGGCCGGGGCCAGCACACTTCACAACACAGACATGCGTACGACACATCACAGATCAGACTAGGCCACTGTCAGCATGAGGAAGGAGGAGGGAAATCACAGATCTGTTGTGGAATCTGTATCCTCATAAACCCATGTATGGCATCAAATGGTAACATCTGAGTGGCCACATTTAGTTTGTTGGAGTCAATAAATGTTTAAGTCATGCATACCACGCCACTTACCATAATTCCACTCTCTCAAGCTTGGAATTATTTCCTTTTCTTTTTTTCTTGTACGTGGCATCAAATGGTAACATCTGAGTGGCCACATTTAGTTTGTTGGAGTCAATAAATGTTTAAGTCATGCATACCACTCCACTTACCATAATTCCACTCTCTCAAGCTTGGAATTATTTCCTTTTCTTTTTTTCTTGTACATTCTTAAACTTTAATAGCTTGGGAAATATTATTTCTTTTTTTTCCTTTTTTTAATTGACACATGATAATTGTACATATTTATGGGGTGCCGAGTTATATTTCAATACATGTGTACAATGTGTGATGATCAAATCAGGGTAATTAGCATATCCATCATTGCAAAAATTTATTATTTCTTTGTGATGACAGCATTTGAGCTCCTTTCTTCTAGCCATTTGAAAACATACAATAAATTATTGTTCATTATAGAAGCCTAGCACTACTATAGAACACTAGGACTTATTTTTCTTATCTAGGTGTAATTTTGTATCTGTCAACCAACTGTTCCTATGCCCCCATCCTCCTTCCCAGCCTCCAGGAACTAGTCCCACACTGTGAGAACACTATATAACCCCATTCTGCTCCCCACCACGGGAAGGGGATTCAACCCTCAACTCAAACAGTTGTAAAAAGAGGGCCGGTCATGTTTGGCTGGCTTTCCTTATCCTTTGTAGTTTTCAGAATGTAGCTCATGTAACAGGCAGTGCCGGGTCCCCTGGGAGGCAACCTTGACAGTGAGTAGCTCTCACTCCCACACTGGCTGGCGGACCTCATCTGTAGCTGACACTGTTGTAAAATAGGCACAAGGATGGAGCGCTACAGTCCTAGGGGCTTGTTCCAGCAGAACGGCCCCCACTGCAGTGTTGGGGCTTCTGTTTCAATGATATAGGGGAATATTGGACAGCATGTCACACCAGGGGAGCATAGGAAGCAGATGGCTACTCTTTACTGCAGAGGTATATTGGCAGAGATGACGTACTAGAGAGGAGGGCAACAAACTTCACAAAGTAGGTCTCAAACTCCAGAAATCTCTGCACGTCCTTGGTGGCCCAGGGGTTTAGGACTCAAGGACTCAGGAGACTGTGTTACACATCATCTGGGTCCACTGGTTGCACAGATGAAGCTCAAAAATTTGACCTGAAACTGTAAGAAATGTGTATTTCTTAGGACTGGCAGGAGACACTGTTGCAAAAGATGACATCTGTAAGTTTCCAGAAGGGAGGAACTTTATCTACTTTATTCACTGCTGCATGCCTAGTGTGACTGCCTATTCTCATCTCTTATTTCCTTATCTAAGGTTCACTCATTCCCCAGCCTTAGCATTTATAGAATCCCTTCTGATATGGCACAAACCATTCTTCTGTCCTCAGAGGTCTCCAGGAAGGTTCTACCTATGGTTCTGGTCTCCTAAGTGTCATCTTTGATGGATACATGAGAGAAAAAAGACTGCTAAATATTCTTCAGAATATTCGAGATCAGGGATTAAACAGCTAAGTGCATATCCCCTGATGAACGGAGTCCATGTCCTCCGAAGCTTCCTTTTCTGCTTCTTATTTTTTCATGCTCCCAAGGTGTCAGCTTGTTTCCAGTCTCTTGTGAACTTTCGATGTTGCCAAGGAAGAGGCCCTTCCTCCACACGCCGGACCAGTACTTAGAAAGTCACAAAATAATGAAATCTCAGAGTTGAAAGGTTTTTGGAGATTTTTTAGCTTAGTTGTCTATCCCAGACCAGAATTGTCTCTGTGATATTTCCAGTAGGTCATTTTCCAGGCTATGCTAACACAATTCCAGAGAAGGGAAATTACAGTTTGGGATAGAACAGACTTTAGATTCTGTGCCATGCACCAGGAGAATGACCATGTAGTTGGTTACATGTGCTGACGAGTAGGAGATGCTCAAATCTTTCTTTCTGGTTGCTTTCTCCCCTACCCTGCACTTCCTTTTCCATGGAGAACAAAGATCCCCAAAGTAGATAAAATTGACTTTAAGAACATTATTAGGGCTGGCCAGTTAACTCACTTGGGAGAGTGTGGTGCTGGTAACACCAAGGTCAAAGGTTTGGATCCCTATACCGGCCAGTCGCCAAACAAAACCGAAACAAAAAAAGAATACCGTTAGCTCAATGTCCTGGGGAAGTGTCTAGAGGGAGGAGCTTTACGCAAAAGGTTTATCACAGAAGGGACTAGGGCAGGTGAATGCTTGGATCCCTTTCCTCTTTGGAATGCCTCTTCTTCCTGAGACTTACTTTCAGGATGCCCAGAAGGCCTCAGTGTACCTGAGCCTTGTCCTCAACATGCCATCCTCCCTGAGTCACTTCCAACAGAAGTCCAAACAGAAAGAAGTCAGGGGCCCAGCTGGCAGGCCTTTCGTTAGTCCAGGCTGAAGGGGTCGTCGCAGCTCACATATAGTCCTGCTCAGTTCATTGACTAAGGGATTAATGAGATCAGCAGGGGAGAGGGGCTAAAGTGCTGGGTGGCCATATAGAATTATGTGCCTGGAATTGTCCCGGGCAACACATAGCCCTTTGAAACAGTGGCTTTGAGACTCTTTCCTTTTTGGGGAGACCTAACAAATATCTGGTTCAATATTCTGGCAGTGTCCTAAATTTTGGGAGACGGGCTCATCTGGGAACCTGAAACTGCAAGAACAGCTGCACATCTCATGGGTGAGTTCCCACATGAAGGATAAGGCTTCTGTATTATGAGGAGGTTGAGATACGTACCTCTAGAAGGAATGTGGCATTGGGGTTAATTTCAATGCCAAGGTGGGCTCTCCAAGGAACATCAAGCTACATGAGCAGCCGGCCTCTTGAAGGCAACATACTGTATGGGATACTTTTCTAGGGCCAGGCAGGCTCACCTCAAAGATGACAAAGCGTCAGGGTGCTAAGTTTTAGCTTGGTGGTTTCTGTTATTGGTGGGACAATTCACTTTCAAATATTTTGTTCTGTTACACGACACCACACAGAACTTCTGGTTTGGATAATATGTACATAGGAGCGTGGGATCTTCCCTCCTTTTGTTGTTTTGACAGCATGTCAGTGTCCTCATAGACATTAGCAGTGAAACGAATTTATTAGTAGGAAAAGTCTGGGACTGGTGTTTCAGGGCAGTAGGAAGACTGTACCCCACCAGGCAGGACAAGTGGGTGGGAGGGGCAGTAATAAAAAGGAAGGGGAGGCAGGCTGGGGCCTAGAAGCCTTAAACAGGGAGGAAAAGAGCACAGGAATGGGTTTGGACCTGGGCTGCTCAACAGGAAGGCTTGGACTGTTCCCAGGAACTCATGGAATCAAGTGTGGCCACAGGCTGACCTCACAAAGCTGTGCCCTGCCTCAACTTACGGTCTTTTGTCTGTACGGGTTTGGCCAGAGCTGACTAAGGGATGAAGTTGGGCTCAGACCACCGAGGGTTGAAGTCCAGCTGGGACCTCTTCTAGCCGTGCTCTCCACCCACGAGGGAAGGGACAAGGGTTCAAAAGTCTGTTTCCCTCCATCCACCAGCCACGCTCACACCTGGGGAGCTCGTCCACCTCCCATCAGCCACGTGTCCCACTGGACCCCTTTCCCCAGTGCCATGCTCCGTACCTGAGCAGTGGGGGAGGGAGCCAGTCCAGTGTCCATCCAGCCCACACATGCGGGTGGCGTTTCCCACCAGAGTCCGCTTGCCAGTGCAGCTGTAACGCACGACTGCCCCCACAGTATAGCTGTCTCCGGACATCTGGGAATGAGGTGGGGAGCCAGGATGGCCACAGGACACCACTGTGGGGAAGAGCAGACATCTCAGCAACTCTGCACGGGGATGGGTCATCATCGCATGACACACAGGCTAGGCTTCGTGTCGCAGGAGGCAGGGAAGAAAAGCCCTCGCGTCCTTATTGAAGCAAACCTCCTGCCAGCACACCCACCTGGCATCAGCAGACCACGCCTACCCCTCACTGCACAGTTTCCACATCTGCGAAGTGAAACGCTGAGCGGGTGTGCGACAGCACTGGTTTCTTTTCTTTCCTGCCTCTGTGCCCTCCCCTCCCTGCTTCTTCACTGCCATAGGGCATACCCAAGATGTCTCCGGGCAGAAAGGAGGAACACATCACATACATAAGAGAAAATGGGTGATCTGCCATCCTAAAACCATCTTCATGGGCCACAGGTTTCAGAATGAGGGCCAGTTACTGCCCTTTTTCAACTGCATCTTAAGTTGCCCCATCGATTGTTCCCAGCCTGTCCCCTTCAGTCTGCAAGCTCCCTTTCCTGAAACACTGAAGTGTAACTGTGAAAACTGGTGATAAGAGCAGAAGCCCAGAGCTGGGACGTACAGCAGGGCAGAGCGATGCCATCAGTGTCGCTGGGCTTGGCCTTCCCATTGTTCCTGCCCCAGGGACCCCAGGTTCTCTCACTCACTCAGCACACATTTACTGAGCACTTATTATGCGTTAGGCACAGTCGGTGTGTTTGGGAGAGCAAACTTCATGTGCTCACGGAGCTTACATTCTAGAGGGGAAGAGAGACTACGAATAAGAAAGTAAACAGGCAATGCCAGGGGTGCTGTGAAGAAAAATAAAGCTGCATCAGGAGAAGAACATCTAGCGGGGAGGTGAAGGTGCCAGTTTTGAGTAGGGTGGTCAGGGAGGATCTCTGAGCAGGAGACATTTGAGCAGTGGCTTGGATGATGTGGAGAGGCCCGCCATGCAGAATGAGCTTGATGTGCTTGAGAAGAGCAGGAAAGCCGGGGATGCTGGAACAGAGTGAGCAAGGAAAGACGGGGAGAAGACACAGCCGCAGAGGCCACTAGCAGGCAGATCATGGCACGGAATTTGGATTCCATTATAAGCATGATGGGAAGCCACTGGGGTGGGGTGTGATCTGATTTACATCTGAAGAAGATCATTCTGGCTACTGTGTGGGGAAAAGACCAGGCTGGGGCAAGAAAGAGGAGGCTGTGGCAAGTTCAAGAAGAGATGGTAATGACTTGGACTAAATCTTGGGGTCTGGTAGGAGACTCTTGTCATAGCTTGTACCCAGAAAGGGAGCAGGGCACAGCATGAATGCTAACCAGGACAGGTGACCAATGGATAAAATCTGGGTTGGGCCAATGTTGCCCCGATCATGAAATTTTGTGGGGTACAATGATGGCAAGAATAGGTCTCTTAGGTGCCTTTACTTCTCATGGTGGCTTTAATATGTGTCTTAAGTGCTTGTGGTGTATTATCTGCAAAGACTACTGCTAACAATTCCTCCCACCAAGGGGTGGAGCCTGTTCTCCTTGCCTTGAATCTGGGCTGGTCTTGTGACTTGCTTTGTATAATGGAATGTGGTGGAAGTTGGGCCAGTTGCAGCCTAAGAAGGCTGGCAGCTTCTGCCTTCATTTGTTGGAATACTATTGCTGCCATGTAAGGAAGTGTGGCCTAGATGACCGAATGACAGGAAATCAAGTGGCGAGAGGAACCATGTGGTGAACAATCACAATGCCCCAGCTGACACTCAGTGTCCAGGTCCCTGAGGCCATCTTGGATCTCCTAGACTCAGCCAATAACATGTGGAGCAGAGGTGAGCTGTCTCCACCAAACCCTGCCTGAATTGCCAATCGTAAGCAATAAAATGGTTGCTGCATTAAGCCACTATGTTTTGGGGTGGTTTGTTCTATGACAGATAAGTGAAACACAAAAGTTGTAATGTTGGAGATCTTGAGGGCGAGGACTGCATACTGCACAAGGGAAGGATCTGAACTGTGGTGACAGGAGGGCTGACTGTGGAACACCATCTACAAAGATGGTCACTGACAATGCTTCCCATCCCTGTGCACTCATGCCACACCTCCACCCCAGGAAGTGGAGCCCATTATTTCCTCTCCCTTTGAATCTAGGCTGGCCTTGGGACTTGCTTTGATCAACTGAATGTAGTGGAATGAGGTTTTAAGAGTTCTGAGCTCTGGCCTTAAAAGATCTCATAATGTCCTCTTTTGTTTTAGGAACCCAGCCTCCAAGTAAACAAGAACAAGCCATCTTCTGCTGGAGAGAGTGGCCACTTGGAGGAACAGCCTCCTCAGCTAACAGCCAGCACCGAGGCCACAAGCAAGTCAGTAAGGCCATCTTGGATCCTCCGGTCTTAGCTGAGCTGCATGGGGCCCAGATAAGCCATCCCTGCTGAGATGGCTAATATTATGTGTCAACTTGACTAGGCCACAAAGTGCCCAGATATTTGGTAAAACATTATTCTAGATCTACCTATGAGGGTGTTTTGGGGTAAGATTAGCACTTGAATAGGCAGATTGAATAAAGCAGATTGTCCTCCCCAGTGTGAGCGGGACTCACCCAATCCAGAAGGCTTGAATAAAACAGAAAGCTGCCTGTCTTTGAGCTGGGACATCAGTCTTCTCCTTCCCCCAAATCAAGGAATTGGTAAAATGGGGAGAAAGTGTCTCAGTAGGCAGCCAGTTCTGAAGGAAGGGAACTTGAAGGCTAAAGAGGTTGGTGGCAGTACTAGAGAGGAAAAGGAACAGGCCTGTAGCCCCAACAGAGCTCAAGTGGCTCTGATATCCAAGGAGCAGCCAGAGTGACTGTCACTGTCATGCCACACACACACACACACACACACACACACACACACACACACACACACACACACACACACACACACATGCACACACACACACGTGCACAGAGGGGAGGACCATTCCTTGACACGGACCACCCCATCAGTCATTTTGAGCAGACGGCATGTACTTACAGAGACACTGGGGGCGGGGACGGTCCCACGTGCCGTCTCCCTGGCAGCTGAGCACGGGGGTGCCCAGGAGGTAGAAGCCGTGGTTGCACTGGTAAGACACGGTGGTGCCATAGCTGAATCTGTGCGGGCTGCTGGCATGGACTTGACGAACGCTGTTTTCTTGGTGCCCAGGATCTGTACAGTTCATGACTGCAAGTGAATGAGACAGTTAGAGGCAGAAACTGGACGTAAAGATTTTCTTAAGCTTTTTTTTTTTTTTTTGTCCTTTTTGTGACCGGCCGCATCGCACTCAGCCAGTGAGCGCATCGCACCGGCCATCCCTATATAGGATCCGAACCCGCGGCGCCGCACTCTCCCGAGTGCGCCACGGACTCGGCCCTTATCAAGCTTTTAAATGAGAATTCAAAGTCCAAACAGGCATGTATTCCCAGTACAGCAAAATCTCCAGACCAAAACTAGGCAATGAAGCAGATGCTGCCTGGGAGGGTGAGCTGGTCCTGAGGTGGCTGAACTTCTCCCCCACCTCAGTCACCTGATCAAGGGATTCCCCCTTCCATGTCCAGCGAGACATCACCCCTTCACAGGAGCCTACCCACCTCTTCCCAGACTGGTTAGCCCCTACTTCTCCAGCGCTCCCTTGCACAAAATTCTACTGCGGATGTCACTAGCCTAGATTGTGATTTGTTTGAATACGTGAGTCCCTTGAGGGCGTGAATGTCTCCTTCGGTGTGCCCGATCCTAGCTCAACATATCTGCCACAGCAGAGCTCGTCAGTTGCAAAGTTGACGCATGTGAGCTGACTTGCACAGGGGCTGGGCTCTTGGAAACTGTTTTAATCACTTTTATGAGTATTTCAGGGAGACAGTAATATCTCCCTGTAGAAATTTGATTGTAGAATGTTAAAGTGTTTCCAAAGCAGCTTAACTCAAAATTACAATGAGATTTGAGAATGATGACAATATTATTCATAACCATAACAGAGGCTTCTGCTTTCACAACACCTTCACATCCATTATCTTCCTTGTGTCTCATACTCATTTTATGAGGTGGGCAGGGAAGTTATTTTTTTTTTTTTTATCTTTGACAAACCTTTAAAGTAGAGGGTGTCCTTACGTTTGATGAGCCTGTCTGAGGCTGAACTTCTGTAAAAAGCCTTTAAAAGCCTTAGAAGCTAAATAGTCCAAATGGGGCCAGAATAACCTCTGCTCAGTCTGCCTCTTGGGTCTTTGACTTCCTCTCTGTGCCTCTTTCCCCCACCCCTTTATCTCGACCCTTAGACTCTCTGCTTTTGATTTTTCATTCCACGTCTGCTGATTTTTAAAAAAATTTCATCAAGAATGGGGCTCTATTAAATGCCATTACAACAGAGCTACAGCAGCCATTTGCAACCATGAGGAAAGACCAAGATGTTATTCCTGACCTCACCGAGCAGCTGCAGGAAGGATACTACTTTCTGATTTATTGTTTATGTGAGAAAAAATAAACCTCTATTAAAAAAAAAGAATGGGGCTTTATATGGTAATGATAAATTATTTGTTCTATGAAGTGTAAACAAGAAGACCTGGAAGATGAAATTAAGTTTTGCTTTCCTTACATAACCATTGGTGAAAATTTTACATGGCTGTATCTAGGGGTTGAGAAAGTCCCAAGTTAAGATCTTCTCTGCACCAGGCTTTCCCTATTAGAGTCAAAATGATGCCATGACGGAATTCACTGGCTTCTGTTCCTGGGCTGCAGAACCACAGAGGGGGAGGTCATGGAGAGCGAGTGTGGGAGAGGAAGGGTGACTCACTTCTGCAGGTGGGCAGCATGTCGCTCCACTGCCCGTTGGCCAGGCATTGGGACCTGGCAGCCCCCTCAGCCACATACCCAGGGTTGCAAGCAAACTTGACCACATCATTGAGGTTAAACTGGTTGCCCTGAGTGAGGCCGTTGATAGGGTTGCCTGGGTGTCCACAGGTAATTGCTGTAACCAAAAGATAAGACAGGTAAGCCCTCCCTATGATTCCACACCCCCCAAAATGCACCCTCTTCTCACCTGGCATCTTTCATGCACATCTGTGAAGTTCAGCCCTAAGTCTAACTTTAGTCTCTTTTGCTGTAAAACCTTTGTTTCCCGAGATCATCATGGGGACATTCCATCCTCCTTCAGGGCATGTCCACAGCCTGGACAACTTGACAGAAATCATTCTGTGTTTTCCCATAGTGTGTTAGGCCTGGACTGTAGTTCTCTGACTTATCTCCTCCACTTCTGATCCCCTTGGCTCCCCGTCTCCCTTCTTCTTTGCTGGACAAACCGATGACCACCCATCAGCTTATTCAGATCCATCCCAGTTCCTGGGCCAACGGGGACATTCCATCCTCCTTCAGGGCATGTCCACAGCCTGGACAACTTGACAGAAATCATTCTGTGCTTTCCCATAGTGTGTTAGGCCTGGACTGTAGTTCTCTGACTTATCTCCTCCACTTCTGATCCCCTTGGCTCCCCGTCTCCCTTCTTCATTGCTGGACAAACCGATGACCACCCATCAGCTTATTCAGATCCATCCCAGTTCCTGGGCCAACCTTGACTGAGCCAGAGTCAATACTAACCAAGCCTGGTGCAGCGTTCAGTCACCCTGCTAGACCCGTGGCCCAGGCAAACTGTGGGGAACCAGAGTTGCTGTTAACAGAGGACCCCCTACCCTCCATTCTTTGCATGTGAAGGGAGTTCAGTTAATGTAATTCCTGGCCTTTCTCGGTGTTATTTCACTTATTTTGCCCAGGAAATGTAGAGTGACAAATCTGTGCAATTTGGGGAGAATGGGCCGACACGCTTGGCTCAGCTCTGCCTTCTTCCTCTGGGGACCCAGCTGCCTGCAGGGAGCACTGTTCTTGGCTGATCTCCCCAACACCGCCTGCCCCAGTGCAGTGCTGCCTCCGATTGGGTGGGTGAATCCACCTCATTCTGGGGTTCATGCAGCAGGCCCTCCCATTAAGCTGCATTTCCCAATTTTGCTTTTACTAGTAATAGGGGTGATATTTTGACCTACATCTACCAGTCTGTTTCGTTTAACAATTTGTTCAGACATGGACAGGGAAGAGGCAGGCCTGGTCCTAGAGGGCTAATGCTCACCCCTCCATCCCTACTCTCCCTACTCCTTCCAGTGGTGTAGTTTGCTCCACTCAGCCCCACTGGCCTCTTCGAGGTTTCTTGAACATACCAGGCAAGTTCCTGTCCCAGGGCCTTTGCACTTGCTTTTCTCTCTGCCTAGCACGCCATTCCCCCAGATATCCCTTGGCTCCTGTACTCATATCCTCAGGTCTTCCCTCTCTTACTACTTCATGGACTAGGTCCCCAGCACTGCCACCCGGGCCCTGCCCTACTGTTCTGCATAGCACCATCATCCATCAATGGGCGCACCATACACGTGCTACTTCATTTGTTGGCTGCTTATCTCCCTTCACCTGAATGCAAGTTCCTTGAGGGCAGGGACCTCATTCTGCTCATTGCTGTATCCTTGGTGTGTGTACCAGGGTCTGACATATAGTAGGAACGTGATAAATAGTTGCTGAGTAAGTGACCAGTAAGCGAGTGCAGGAATGGACGGATGCCCGGGCTTCTGCCTTGGTCCTCAATCCTTAGCTCTATTTAGTACCTGCCTCGTACCCTAGTCTCCTTGGATGGAACTTCCACCAGATGCTCTTGCCAGGTCTCTCCCTTTGTTTTGGGTCTTAGTTGTGAGAGGATGAGGAACCATGAGGGATTTCTCTTAGCCTCATGGATTTCTTAGAGCTGTAAGGACCCCACCCAAAACCCAAATGTTGTGGTTGGGGTTGGGGGTGCAAGATGAGGCAGGACCAATCTTTGCTGTGGCCAGCTCTGGTGTCTTTCTGGGCCAGTTCTCTTTTGTCAATCTCTATTGTAGCATCCCTGACTCAGGACAGGAGGCACGCTGTTAGTAGACCACCTGGGTTCAAAGCAGCCTAGCGAGGTGGGATGGGAATGGGCTAGGAGGCCAGCAGACCAGGAGCTATGACTCAGCTCTACCTTCCTGACTTTCATCTGAGGATAATTCACTCTGAGCCTCAGTTTCCATGGCTGCAAAGTAGGGATTCTGATGTGCACTTCACTGGGGTGCTTTGACAATAGATTCACATCTTTACTTTTCATCAGATGTGTATTGAGTGCCTTCCATGTGCCAGGCACTCTGCTGTGGGCTGTGATACATGGGAAGAACGTGATGTGGCCCCTGACCTCAGAGCTCACTTTGCAGACTTGCAGCAGAGCAGGCAGGAAAGTAGACACTATAACACAGCAGGCTGGTGCTAAGAAGGAGCCTGATGCCGAGGAGCAGCATCTATCCTCCTCTGGGGAGACAGTGGGCTGAGGAGGGCTCCCACAGGGAGTGGATGACGTCTGAACTGGGTCTCCAGGGTGAGTGGGGCTTTGCCAAGTCATTGAGGGGGTGGGAGAGGGGATAAGCTCCGTGGGGTCTGTGAACCCACTGAAACGATATGCAAAGAATTGCGTGTATGCAAGCAACTTGGGAGAGGATCCAACACTTTCACCAGATTTGCAAGGGTCGTGACCCCCTCCCCAAAGGTTAAAAACCACTTGTATAAAATGAAAGAAGCAAGTTGAGGATTAAAACCTGTGGGAATACTACCTTTATAAGGGCAGATAGACAAAAATGCCTGCAAAGGAAACTGAGGATCGGTCAGAAAAGTAGTAAAGCAAAACTGGACAAAAGAGGTAGTGTCACAGAACCTGTGGGGATAGTCTCAAGAAATGTCAGCTACCCCTGATAGGTCAAGTAAGATGAAGATGGAAAAGCTCCCATCAGATTCAACAGTAGGACGCTGGTGGCAGGGAAGTGTGCCCTGCCTGGCTGGACCTCCTGCTCCTGCTTCCTACATATTCTCAAGCTATAGGCCCTGTACAAGGAGCCGCAGGAGCAGAAGCATCCACTGCCACCAGGCTCCATCTTCTATGCTCCCATAAAGTTCCTGCTGCTCTCTTTGGGTCCTAGGATTGCTATCTGCCTCAAAATTTTGTCTGGCACATCTCAGATTCCTGCCCTGCAGCAATCAGCAGCAGAGGCTCTGAGGATTCTGCATCTGGGCCTAGGACCAGAGCTCTCATTGACTGAGAGGAGGTTCCTCCTGGCTAGAGCAGAGAAGTGGTGGGGGCAGAACCCCGACCGTAGTGGCTTTTGCTGCTAACGGGAGAGGAAAGGTGGGAGCAGTTAGTGTAGGCAACTCTTTCAAGCAGCACAGCTGTGTGATGGTTAATTTTGTGTGTCAACTTGGCTAGGCCATGGTGCCCAGATATATGGTCAAACATTATTCTAGAAGTTTTTGCGAAGACATTTTAAAAGATGAAGTTAACATATAAATCAGTAGACTTTGATTAAAGTAGATTACCCTCCACAATGTGGGTGGTCCTCATCCAATCAGTTGAAAGTCCTAACTATTAACTTTTCCTAAAAAGACAGACTTCCCTGGAATAAGAGGGAATTCTGCCTTCAGTCTTGAACTGCAGCTCTTTCCTGGGTCTTCAGCCTGTCTGCCTAAGTTGCAAATTTTGGACTTGTCAACTTCCACAATTCCATAGTCCAATTTATTAAAATAAATCTCTCTCTGTACACACATACACACATCCTATTGGTTCTGTTTCTCTGCAGCACCCTGAACTAATACAGGTTGTGAAGGGAGAAAGATAAGGCATCGCTAGGAGGAAAGCAGGGGTCTTGATGAGGCTTGAGAACTGAATAGGGGCTTGAGCACAGGGGCCACTAGATCTACATTTCTTGAGGGCAGAGACATGACACATTCACTTCATGTTTATCCACAACACCTAAGAGGGTGCCTGGCATGTAGTAGGTGCTAAGGAAATGTTTATTGGGTATGGTCTCATAGGCTGAGGGAAACAGTAGAAAGAGAAGGTCACTGGTAACAAGAGAGAGTTAAAAATAGACTAAGCTCACTAAGGAGGCTGGAAGGAAGGAGATCCAGAGACTGGTGGAAAGAGTAGCCTTGGGCTGAGAGAGAGATTCTTCTTCTGGTGGGGCGGGAGGGAAAGATGGATGCAGGCAGGACAGGTGTGTGGGTGGGGAAGAAGGAAGTGGAAGGAATGATTGTCTGATGGCTTCTACCATCTCTGCAAAATAGAAAGGATAGTGTGCCAGTAGCAATCACTGTTGGGGTTCACATCTTCACAACCCTATGAGGTAGGCACTGTTATTATCCCCACAGGAAAACAGAATTTCAGGGGAGTCAAGAGGCTTGTTCAAGGAGCACAGCTCCAAAGTGGCTCATCTGAGTTTGAACCCAGCAGCTCTGGTTCCAGGTCATCTTAACTGTTCGGTTATTTGCTGAGAATATAGGCAGAGGTGGTGGAATATGGGTGATCAGAAAAGAGTTGAGGAATGTGAAATGGCTGTGTAGGGAATTGGCAAGAAGGCTAAGGGAGGACATGCAGAGGAGAGCTGGAACATTTTGAGTCTGGCTGACGTTAGAAACCTTGGATTTACATGTGATGGCAGCTAACACAGTGGCTAGCACAGAGTAAACACATGAATATTTGTTCTTTTATTCTTGGTAAAAGAGATCCTGGATTCTGTGATGTGACAGGGTGGCAGCATCGCCACCACCACCACCACCACCATCATCATCACCGTAGCAACAGCAGCAGCAGTTGCTTAACACCCACACCAGGCACCATTCTAACCATTTTACATGTTTTAATTTATTTAATACTCACAATAATCTTTGAGGGACCTGCTTTTTATAGGTGAGAAAACTGAGACCTACTGAAGTAAACTGACTCATCTAAAGTCACATAGCTCCATGATACATAGTGGTAGAGCTGGGATGTAAACCCAGGGTACCTAGGCCCACACCGGAGTGTCTAACTGTTTTACTCCACTGCCTTTTAATATGGTCCAGGTCCTGAGATTCACTGTCATTACTCCAGGCAGACAT